CTTCTTTTTTTTTTTTTTGTTTTGCAAACACTCATAAAATCATTTAAAAAATGTTGCTAATATTAGCTTTTATTTGCATACATCGCATAAAAAAACAATTCCCCCCCACAAATGTTTATTTGGAATTTTTTTTTTTTCTTTTCTCCTTTCACAACAGGTTGATAAGTAAGAAATAATAAAGGTAAAAATGTTGCATAAAAGGGCACAATATGTTATATATTTAATCACCTATTTATACAGTACCAAGTCCCAAATCCGAACCTCAAAGACACCACCAACTTTAAAAAAAGTTTTTTTTTTTTTTTGGTGTGTGTGTGTGCATTTGATTCTCAACCCGCGCATAATAAAACGTGGAGGGTCTCATTTCTTAATTTTACATCAGCAGTAAATAAAATACCTTGTTATTGAAAAAACAATCATTTTAGCATAAATTTGTATGATGAATAATTTGGCTCCATAGCTGCGTATCTGCTTGGCATACATCTCAAACCGAAACATTCTACATAGATACTTCGTTGACTTTACACCTACTAATATTTTATAACCCTGATGACAACCTGGTGAATCGTTACTTATTATATTTTGCTTTTATTATCTCATGTTTATCAACAGATGACAAATTGAGTAATGACTCATGTAGCGAAACTTACATTTTTTAATACTAGAAATTTAATAATAAAGAGTATGGTAACCTTTTATGTTGACATTAATGCTTGACGATGATTACATATTTAAGTTAAATGCGCTAAGAAATGCTGATGAGGAAAAATTTATGAAAATTTCTTTCCATATGCTAAAAACACATTTTGCTAATGATACGTATAAATCAAAAGATTACATTTAGTGCTATTTGAATAAACAATAACTGATTTGTTATTCACATAAACCCAGAATGGGCGCCAGAGCTTGTGTGGCCGCACCGAGCGGCAGAATTTAGGGAAGACAAAGGGAGGTGCTTAGGAGCAGAAGTTAGGACCCGCAGAGACGGCGTCAGGCGACAAGATTTCTAGTGCCAGCCTTCAATAAGCCTATATGTGTGGGACTTTATTTATTCAGGACTCAGATAAGTCTTAAGCATGTGCAAGGAATGGATGTAAGTATAATAAATAACTAAACTAGTACAATTCAAGCTTAAATTGGTCTCAGTACACGATATAAGAAAGAAAATTTAGCGGAACAAATTGTTTTTAGTCGCCAGTCTCATGATAAATAGCCAAATATGTATAGTGAATGATAGCTAAATTTTATGATGATAACTGCGAATCTGAAGGTTTTCGGATATCGCTAACCAAAGGTGAAATTTTCCAATTAACGGATTTTGTAAAGAAATGTGAAGAGGCGGTAATAAATGAAGATGACATAAAATAAGTTTTTCATTGTGATGACAATGCTCCTTAATCATCAACCAATTAACAGATGGCAAAATCTGTAGTATGGTTCTAAATTAAGGAATACCACTATCCACAGTGGTTACTGAAAATGAAAAAAATTTTGGTTGGCAAGTTATTCAAAAATATAGACACAGCAATTACATGACTTCAGCAATGGAATTTTATAACTGAAAAAGAAATTATGTCCATCAATAGAATTAAAGAGAAAGTATTAGCACAAAAAAAAACGAAGCAACTTAAACGACTTGAAACAAATGTTTAATAAAGTAAACAAATAAATATTAAACTTTTTTATTTTCCTAAATTTTGATACCCTTTAGATCAAAAATGCTTCATTATTTCATAAATTGCATATTGTAATTGTGTATTGGTACACTGTAAAAAACAATCTTGAGCACCATCGTCATTCAATTTTTAATTCACAACTCCAGCATTTTCTTAAAACATAGAAATCTGTTCTACAAGTTTCAAGATGTGCATACATTGCCCTGTAGTGACAGATTCAAGAACTTTAGTTTGTCAAATATGCCACCCTAATATGCTAGTGTTAGCAAAACATCTGGTTCTGCGAAATTCTAAGCAATCGCATGACTTACTCTTGCAGAAAGGTGTGAAATTCTTGATGCCATCAGAAGGCCCAAAACTGGACGACGTCAAGCGAAAGTAATCGTGAACTGCAATAGTATAGCATAGCTGTGTGTTCAGCTTTCATATCCTTGCATAGGTTTTTGAAAAAATTGCTTTCAGCGGTCTAGTTTTTATGTAGTTTCCTATGTCTATAACACATTCTAATGCCATACTCAACTAAGGACTAAGCGACTTCCATACAAAAGGCTCTCAGTAAATAATGTAGTAGGTCCATAACAGTATGCGGTGTTTCGCTGCAATTAAATGCTTATAGTCCTGCATAGTCACAGTACATTGATTGAGCACAATCAGTACATACACAGATGCACTTTTCCCATTCTAAATCATTTTCCATTATAAATTTGTCAAGCACTTTGAAGAAGTCTTAAGTCTTTCCACTTCCGATGATGTTCTTTCAGAACAGAAGATCTTCAACATTATCATACAGGAAGCATACATAATTTATGAGGATTTGCATCTTTATTACTGTCAGTACTGTCTAATTGTGGACCGAGTTTTCTCTACCAACTGATCATTGAGATTCTAAGTGACACCTTGAATTCTTCGTACATACGAGCTATATGTTGAATTCTAATAGTGCTGTTGTGTACAAGTACCTTAGAAATAAGTTTACGTATTGTAATATTAACTATGACGATAGCAGCTCTTCTGTGATAATGTGCGGTTTTTTGCAGTTCATCAGTCTGTGAACTATCTTGAAAGACATTATTGAGTTACTCAGAATTGACACTTGTTTCGTGAATACACTGCTTTGCTTTTGTAAATCTTACAAGTTCCTACTAAACAAAATGCCAGATTTGTCGACCAAGTAAGGGCGAATGGTCTCAAGATATCTCTTTAGCTTTATACATCTCTAGCTTAGCTTTATACATCTGTCATCATTGTATTTCATCGTTGTTTACATCTACTGAAGAAATAGCAAAATCAAGTTAATTTCCTTGTAGTTGCAACATTTTCGCCTCTTTTATTCTATGTCAGTTTCTTAATAAAAACTTTTCATTTTGTGAAATATCAGTACGGATTCGTCAATCTATTGCAATATTTCAACGAGATCATGACTTTTCATACACGTATAAGATTGTACAACATTCCCCATCCGTTCTTGAGTTTGATACTGACAGTCGCAAGCGTAAAAACAAAGCACCAACAGATGCCACTGCTGAGAAGCCAAATACTACAGTCTCATGAGAGGAAGTAATAGGTGTAAAAATATATGAGAATAACCGAGTTCAATTTGATGAAACAACATAAAATTATTGCAAATTGAAAGAACTAAGTAATAGAATAAATAGCTCTTTTAAAAACGTGTGGTGTTACACGAGTAAGTCGACAGTAAGAATTACTTTAGATTAAAAGGAGAAATAAAAATGTTAAAAACATAATTTTATATTTTAAATGTAATATTAATGAAAGTATAATTAATAAAAATATGGCCAAGCTTTCAATGCAAGTCTTGTTTCCTTGTGTTCATGATGCCCCCGGCCTAACATCACAGCACCCCGGGGCACCGCGACGCACACTTTGGGAACCCGTGGTTTAGAGTATTGAATAAAATATCTAAAAGCTTTGTAGCAGGTCAAAATATATACTGCACAAAACCTGTAAATTTTTGAGTGAAATGCCTTTGACTCAATGTCATGGAATTCATGATACAAAATATAAATTATGTAAATTTTTTAATTGTTGGTTGTAAATTCAGCAACAACAATTACATACTATACTAATTTTGTCTGTAAAATTAAAATAAATTATCTTTATTAAAATGCAGAGGTTCCTTGGAGTGAGTTGATTTTTCTCAACTTAATAACAATTCTTCATTTTATAAGACATTGCTTAGCCTTAGTTTACTAGCAGTTTAATCTCTTTTAATCTAATACTTATTTGCTAATTTCTCTAGGATTATTCTTCCAAATCTTTTGCTTAAGAAGTCAAATATTTTTATATTATTAGCAAATCAAATTGTTACAAGTATAAGAATTTATACAATAAAAAATATGTACTAAAGAGATTATTTTACAGATTAGAAATATAGAATATTTAGCTACCAAACCAAAATTTAAAAGCATATAAAGATTGTTTAATATCAAATAACTAAAAAGATTAACTTGAAAAAGAATTATGCAACTAATACGAACAAATAGAAAAAGAAGAGACTATTCAATGAATTAAAAAAACATTGTTACGGTATTTATAAAGGCAGATGATAAATTATGACTCAAAGTATCAAACAATCTTTTAAAGATAAGTTTCTATGTGTAAAAAAATCAAAAAGGTAAAAATCCACTAGATGTAATTCATAATCTAGCCAAGAGATAGTCCTATGAGCTTGTTGACCAAAAATTGAGATTATTTTAACATTACTTATTCTATGCATTTAAATGTGTTAATGTTTTATGCCATCTTTTTTGTGCAATTGATATGGCTAAAAAACTAATTAGAAACACTGAGAATCAGTTGCCATGGTCATGAGATGATGTTTGCTTTCGCTCTCTTGCCATATAGCTTTTTTGTTGGAAAGGATACAAGAAAGTGATGTAGACCCATACTTGGTATATTTAACCATTATTCTTTTTGCCATGACAATTATTAAGACCAAGTATGATGTTCTGAAGATATGGGAACAGAAAAAATAAAATATAAAGTGGTGGCCTTTTTTTATATTTAAATTAGATTACATTTGATTTTTGTTATTTCATTTAGATTCTGTTTTCTGATCAAGTTGTTAAGAATGTTTCCGTATAATGTTATATATATAAATAGTCATATCTTAGAATCTGCATATACCTGGTAGGTGTTATTATTAGAACCATTCTTTAGGTATGGAAGTGATAAACATATTTTGAGCCAAGTTTCTATATTTAGTGTAGGAAATTTCAGTTATCATGTAGATTAGGTTAGCTATGCTTTCTTATGCTATGTATTCAGAATTTTATACAGTCTAACCAATAAAATGATAAATACCTATTGACAGCAACTTTCCTGTTCAACTCCTCTGCTGCACCAAAGTGCAGTCGCTTCTTGCCTTTGCTTCCATTCACATTTTTTGCAGCTGGTTGCAGAACATTTAGGGAATCATTTATATTCTGCAACATTTTTGGAGACTGAAACATATAAAGTTTGTCAAATAAAGTCTGAATTATGATATATCATTATATATGCTTACTAATAAAAGAAACACAACTTCATACTTAATTAAAAATATGAATATGTAATGATACACTACTTGAAATAGAAAATGGAATGTCATGAAGATTTGGTTTCATTATCATCCAAACTGCAAGGAATACACAGCTGAATTATTTATGCAAGTAATCTGAAATGCAATTTTGATACATGAAAAGTTAGTGAGATAAAAGGGAAGGAAATACAAGCTGTTTATTGTCTCGGAAGACGGATAGTCGAAGAGGCGCCTTGGCAAGCATCACTGAAATCAATTTTGGTAATTAAAACATTTTTGACAAGAGGTTTCATTTTGCAGTTGAAGCATATTTAACATCCTGCCACTGTGCAAAAGATTTACAAAGGTTGGATTGAAGAAGAGAATGTAAATACTGACAAAGGTGCTGGTTCATCTAGACAGACATCATGCTTGAATCAATGCATCTGAATGCATGCAAGGATGGCCCAATCAAACATGATTACTAAAATTATGTGTAATGTGCAGGGAAGTTTCAATATTCCAATGTCAACAAGAAAATGGTTTTCAGATCTTAAAGTGGTTTCTATGAACCCTCAGAGGACCCTATGACTTTTGAGGAGATTTGTGGCAAATTTAATTTAGGGGTGAGTGGACAATGTCAGGGGATCCAAAAATTGTTTAATATCAAATAAAATTATTGTGACCCATTTTCAATATTATGAAAGTTAAAATAAATAGCAATAAATAAAGTGGAAACAATTTTTATGTCTTCAGGAAAATAAAACTTGTTCGCTTCTTATAATATTTCTTTATTGTTTGTAAAGTTGGAAAGCTGCATGCCATTGGTGAAGAACTTATTCTACCAGCTGCAAATGAAGTAATATATAAACCAGCTTTAAATATTATAAAAAAATTAATTCATAATACAGTACAAAAAAGATCTGGTAAAATTACTCAGTGCATAGAAAAATCTTTATGTGAGTACTTAACATTTGAATTCCATGCTGTATAGGGAATACAGCATGACAAGTCAACTTTGCCAGAAAACAAAGCTATGTTTATGCGAGATATGTAAATGAAAAATTTACCAAAAATTGTTATTGTCAAATATTCAGAAACTGATAAGAAAGGTGAAACAATACGTAATGAATTAAAAAGCTTTGTAGATGCAAAAGCTATACCTTTAAGGAATATCCTTTCCGGTGCTACCAATGGTGCTCCGGAAATGGCAAGAGAACACCAAGGCTTTCTAGCATATTTAAAACAAGCTTATACCCAATGCATAATATGCACACTGTGCAAAAAAAAGGGACAGTTCTATATATCCTGTTCTACTGGGTCGATAGACGGATTTCAAATTGCGTTTTCCACGTCTCTAAAGCGCGACTTAGGCTATATACTAGATTTATATATAGCTTTGCTCTAACATAGGTATTTAAACACAAAATTGGACTTTTTCTAAAATAACATACCAATTTTTTTCCAGATTTCGATTCTAGAACTCAAATTATGCCTAGATATTAAATTTTGTAAGTTTTGGTGAGAAATTTATGGAGGAATTTAAAAATTTATCTTAGCAAATTTTTTTCAGTTTGAGCCAAGAATAAGAAGAGTAATTTGGTGAACATAATTTATAGCAACCTATTTTTCTTTGCACACCAGGGGATGAGAGTCATCGCTCATACTTTCAAATAATTTTAACAAAGTGCGTAAACCACATTTTCTTTATTATCGATTATAATAAATACACCAAATTTCAAAATGTGCCAAAATGTAAATTTACGTATATCTTGGACAATTTTGAATAAAAAAACTCTAATTTTTTGCAGTTATGCTTAGAAATACATCTACTTCAAGATGATGGCAAAAATTTTATAGGTCACAATTCAGAATTTTTGAAAAATTTATAAAAATTATTTAAAAATACAAATTTTAAAAATAAATCATGAAAAATGGGCGAATTTTATTTGAATTGAACCTAAATTGCGAAATATGAAAGGAAGAATCAGAAAAGTTTTATAAAAAAGAAATATTAATAAATATATATCAAATTCAATTAACACCGAGGAGCTAAAATTTTGAGAGCTAATTTTTTGAAAACTACTTGTGCGATTTTTTCAAAACTTAGCAGTTTGGCATAATTTGTGTCGTAAAATCGAAATATGGAAAAAGATTGGCATGTTATTTCAGAAAAAGGTCCGATTTTGTGTCAAAATACCTATATTAGATATATATAAAGCTAATATATATCCTAAGTTGCACTTTCAAGACATGAAAAACGCAAATTGAATTTCATCAATCAGCCCAGCAGAATGGGAGATATAGAACTGTGTCCCCCCTCGCAGTGTACATTCATTAACAACATTCAGTCGTCAAAAATCTTAGTAAATGTTTGTATGGCAGTTATGTCATTAGAGCAGTTAATAAAATCAAATGGAATGGAAGTTAGTTATCTAAAAGTGCATGTTTGGATTGATTTTATGTATTCTTCCTAGCAATTAAAGATAATGACTTGTGGCTCAATTTTAATTAAATTACAAACATGACATGACTTATATGACTGATTCATTTTTCGAATTCAGAAAAACCAATTTGAAGCTGTAAGGTGATCAATTTAGTAAAATACCTGCATTTAGTGTAAAACTTTTTCTATACAAATAAAATGTGGAAAGCGAAGAATGCTCTCAGTTCCCAAATTTTTCAAAACTGAAAAAACAAGTTGAAGATTTGCTTGTTTAATATTGTAATTACTTAACGACTCTTCATTCCGACCTCAACAAAAGATTTGAAGACATTTTTCATTTGGCTATTCTCGATTGGGTGTTGGTTCCTTTTGCAAGCAGACACACAAATTGAGATGTATTAATGCTAAAACAGGATCACTTTACCGAATTGCTTACAAATGACAAGCTGAAGCCAATGTCTGCGCATGCGTCAACGCGACGCATGCGCAGAAAGTTTAGCTTTGAGGTCCAGATTATGGGTGTCCGAATTAATGACTTTTGACTGTATAATGGTATTCAGACAAAGCCTCTTGGATAACAAAATGGCACAGGATTGTGTACAGCAATGGATCTCGCTTATGTTTCATTAATGACAGCTGCCAAATAAGAGTTTGGAGGTGATATAAAGACATGTTTAATCCTGCTGTAACTGCTAAATACCATACTGCTAAACAATGCAACATCCTGACTTCAGGTGAGATTTGAAACCAGTTGCATATGGCTTATATTCAGAGACCCAGTTAGTGCATGATATCTGGGTGTAGTACTGCAGCTACTTTCAATGGGTACAAAATATTCCTATACAGCAAGAGAGCACCAAGTCACAGTGACTGAACAAATGCCCATAGGAAAAATGCTCGCAGGTATAAAAGCTCACAGGAAAAAAGCCCACATGGAAATATGCCCACATAGAAAAAAAGCTCACTTAGAAATATGCTCTCATAGTCCACATTGACACATGCTCACATTAACCTTTTCAGGGGCGGTATATAAAAGAATGAAAATTGTAAAATTTTGCATGCACTGTAAATATTTTATACTACTGCCCCTGTACGACATTTCCCCCCCTCTAACTGCCAATAGTTAAATTTCTTTTCTTTTCTTTTTTTTTTTTTTAACTCTATTTTTGCATACTTTTGATGTGTATCTATAAAAATTGATGTTTGAATGTAGTTATTTAAGTTTAATTATAAGTTTACAATTATAATTATTAATATTAATTTATATATTATTAGTTACAAAATTAACATTTTTAGGCACCTTTATGATGCTCAGTTGAACACATTTATGCAAAATATGTGAAAAATGTTTTTGAAAGTGATTTAAATTCAGTAGCTTTATTTTATCAAAAATTTAACAAATATAACACTGCACACATAAACTGCATAATACTATAATTGAACCAGCATTATGCAGTTAAAATTATGTTACAAGGAAATGTGATTCAGCCTCAAAAATGAAAATCTACATTTTTGAAGTCATTGTATTTTATGCTTTAAATAATTTATAAAAAGAACATACTTAGGCATTTTCTTATAACCAGTCATATAAAACTCAAACATTTGCTTCTTCATTTTTCCTCCCCAAAGATAAATGTTTTGCGTTTGAAATTGGCCTTACCCCATGTGATGCTCTGTGGTAAACAGGGAATTGGTTGTGTTTTCAATTGAAAAACTAGCCTTAGAAATAATCTTCCCCTTTCGTCAAGTGTGAAGATCCGTTGTGATAACAGCCTATTCATATTCTTACCCGAGAAAATTTATTTTATGTTGCTTAGTCTCTTACCTGAAAGCTAACAAAGACAATCCCTTAAAAGCATGCTTTTAAATTAGCAGTAGTTCCATTCTGATAGACTGTGAAAGTGGATCTGAAGCACATTCCTATTTTTTGCGACTTGTAAGTGAGCTTTCCTTTGTGGTCTTATTACAATACTGGTGAAGATTGGATTGGATTATTCAATTATGGCAAAGCACACGAGGGTTATCTGCCTGAAGGGAGGGATGCCTTCATGGAGTTTCTAAGAAATACTGGTGAAGAAAGCATGACCAAATTAGCCATCAATCAACTTTCATGACAATTACAGAAAAACCATCCTCCACTTACAATACCCGTAATTTTATATCCTGATTTGATGCATTTGTAAAATTTTCGTCAGTGGCTGAGTATCGTTTAAACTAATAAGTATAATGACAATATTCTATAAAGTTGTCTGAAGTATTTGTGCTTTATCATCAGCGTTGAGAGGTTGAAGAACGAAATAAATACGTTTTAGTATCTACTAAACCTTTTTTAGAAATATACAATTCACAACCACCCAAAAAAAGGTAAATATATATTAATATATCTGGGTTTCAATTACTTACATTTTTGAGTTACTATCAGTATCATTTCTTAGAGATGTCGACAAAGCTGATCAATAAAATGCAAGTCAGTGAAAACTCAAGGAGAAGAAATAATGCATGAACCAACAAATCATTGCCATGATTCTTGATGATTATTGCGTACAGACGATAAAGGCCAATATTGAGAAAAATGAAATGAAGAAAGCAATCAAAGCTATAAGCACTACACCTCGAAATGTCATGGACGATGTGATGAGTGAAATCAGTACTGAAGCACTGTCATATTTGCCAAAAAATTCTTCTCTCACTCGAAGTCTTCAAAATAACACACACACACACACACACAAATATACATTTTAATGTACCTGATCAATATATTCAATTAATTCTATTTGATAGAGGTGTTGATGATCCAGACAGAATTTTGGTACTTAGTGATAAAGAATTGTTATTGGAATTAACAAAAGATACTATTTATGGAGATGGCACTTTTGATAAATTTCCCAGTTTGTTTTATCAACTACACTTGCCATGCAAAGGTTGGTAATTCTTATCCACCTTGTATATACATATTATTAACAAAGAAGATAGAAGGTATCTATGCAAAAATGTTTAATATAATTAAAAATTTACTTCCGGATTTGTCTCCCGACAAAGTTTTAGACGATTCTGAAAAGGCATGTATGAACACTTCTGCCATTGTTTTTCCACATGCTGAGATAAAAGGATGTTACTTTCACTTATGCCTATGCACTGTAAGAAAAATGTCATATGTTGGTCTAAAGAATGAATTTGAAACAAACATCGACTACAAAATAAAGATAAAATTACTTGCGGCCTTATCGTTTGTTCCCCCGCATGAAGTACAAAGAGTTTACGATCAACTTGCTAATACATATCCCGACGAAGATAGGTACAATGAAATTCTTACATATTTTTTTTTTTTTTTTTTTTTAGATACAACCAGGGGCCCTAGAGGTAGAAGACCACAGTTTCCAATTGACGTGTGGATCATTACAAAGCAGCCTTAAAAAAAATCTCCTAAACCACAAATTGTTGCGAAAGCTTTCAAGACGCACTAAATTCATTATTTAATTATATAACCATCCTAGTATGTGGTTTTTATTGACAGTAAAAAAAGGAAAATATGAAAACTTACATTTGGTAATCATGAATTGTGCAAGAAACTATGATGAAATGGATGACAAAATTAGTTATTTATGTATATTAGCTAATATTCAGTAAGTTTATGCATTTATAACTTTTAGAAATATATATTTATGATTTATATATAATAAGGTATTTTACATAATTTAAATAAAATAATTATTTCTATTTGCTTATTCTTCTAAATGCTTAGATTATAAAATGTGTACATATATTTACTATTATTTTTTTAACAATTAAAATTGTAATAATTTTTCACTGTACATTCTGTTTCATTTTTACTTCCTTCCTCTTCTCCTTTTCTTAATTCAAAATGGCCCATTTGTTAATCTTATATAGCAGCTGAATTTACACATAAGTCATAGTTTTTGAAATATATACTATAGATGTTTTGCCAAGTTAAATAATTTTTCTTTAAAAAAATCAAGTACAGTCAAAAGTCGTTAATCGGGACTTCGGCGATTCCGGATTATAGATCATCAGTTTAAATCTGGTAAGATGGCATGCAGAAATTACAAAATTAAAAATATGAAACCATAATTTATGAAATAAAGAACAATTATGATCTAAAGGGTATCAAAATTTACAAAAAGAAAAAGCTTAATATTTATTTGTTTACTTTATTAAGCATTTCTTTCAATGTAAGTTGCTTCGTTTCATGTGATAATACTTTCTCTTTAACCCCTTAACTGCCGCGGGCGTATATATACGCCTTGCTCAGCTGATGCGTTAACTGCCCCGGCGTATATATACGCCCTTACAAAATACTATCAGTTGCTTTGCGCTGCTACCCGTTAAACTATTCGCAAACTTTTGGAATGCAACACCAGAATGACCTTGACGAAGTATGTGAAGGAGGATATTATTTCAGAGAAGTGTGGGGAGAAATTGGAGAGAGGGACGTGTCTAAAGTGCTGAAAGTAATGACTGCGTGGTATTGGCTAGTGTTGTTTGAGTAAAACTTTTTTTTTTTTTTTTTTTATTCTGTGTCCTCTGTTTTCGTTTACTTTTTGTAGTAGGTTCCAGGAATAAAGAAAGACATAACGGATGTTTCAAACCCATTTATCTTTCTTGAATTATTTTTTGATGAACTGCTCGTGCTTTATATTACTACTGAAACTAATTGTTTTGTAAACGAGTATATGAACCAACAACACCTTGCAAACGAAAAATCAAGAACAATATCGTGGCATTCAACCAATTCAGAACAAATATATGTTTTTATAGGCATACTGATTTCACAAGGTATATAACACTGAAACATGATATTACACTTTACTGGTCTAAAAATGAATTGATCGAAACCCCATTATAGGGACCTTTTTTATTATAAAAACATCATTTTTATTATACTTACATCTTTTTATTATATTTTTACTCAAAATATTAAATTTTGTGCATGCATTTTTTTTTTTTTTTTTTTACTGTTTATTTTGTGAAACTAAACAATTTTTAGAAAGTAAAATTTGCTCTTATTTTCCCCCTAATAAATCACATAACTACGTGCGGATATGTGAAAAACCGTGGCACTGGGGAATGAATCTTGTACGTTAGGGGTTAATTCTATTAAACAGACATAATTTCTTGTTTAGTTACAAAGTTCCGCTGTTCAAGTCCTATAATTGCTGTGTTGAGAATACCGACTAATTTGTCAATCGAAATGTTTTCGTTTTCAATAACCTCTGGGTCACTTTCTTCACTATCGGAAGCGAATTATAATGACGAGGAACTTGATTTAAATCATATCAAAGACGGAGTACATCGAGATGAAATACTACACTTAGTAAGGAATTATAAGCCAAATAAAATATAAACCATCTGCCCTGAAGATAAGGATAGTGCTGACAGATCAACTTTCAATCCGCCGCGTGAAATTGATAAACAGATTTCGGATTTCAAAACATACTTTCGCTTTGTAGATACAAATTACATATTAGTAAATATTTATTGGAAATTCTATTTGACATAATCGAAAGTTCAAGCTTACTTTTATGAAATTGCTCTAACAGTCTGCAAAAAATAATAAGCCGGATCGAATTCGAAGATTAAGGAACAACGCAATCTGCAACATTAACTGAATTTTTAGCTTAGCTTAGACCTCCGTTACACATTAAACGCGCATGCGCACAAACATATTCGCAGATGTAAAGGTCTTACGCGCACTCTTAAACGCCTGTTTGCATCCATGAACGCGACGCATGCGCAGAAAGTTTGTAGCTTTGAGGTCCGGATTATAGATCATTCCGGATTATGGGTGTCTGAATTAATGACTTTTGACTGTAGTTGTACGATGTTCAAATCGATTAATTAATGATTGATCAATGTAAGGATATTTCTATGTTAATTATTTATCAGTGGGCTTACTTCCATGACAACATTATTCTGAGTGCGCATATTTCTAAGCGAGCTTCCATGTGAGCTTTTTTCTATGAGAGCATATTTCTGGGTGGACTTTTTTCCCCCATGAGCATTATTCCTGTAGGCTTTTTTCCTAGAACCCTAAGCCACACATGACATTCAGCAAAATAAAGCCCCGTAAGGTACCCAGCTGCACTCTTAGTCAATGAGGTTTTGAGATTTCACACATCAAACACTAAAGAGACATCACACTGGCGGAGAAACATGATTCTTTGATCTGCCCCCAATTTCAGTTGGAGGATGAACCATGAAGGATAGTCGAAAGTATATGATCATCCATCCCTTAAACACGCTATTCACATGCTGATTACACCAGTCCCTCAAAGGCTCTGTGAGAAGTGGCCTTATCTTATTCTAAAAATTTTGCACATATGCTACCTAATGTAACTATAAATATTTATAGTTAAAGTATTTTGTACCTTCATTAATGTATGAAATTCAGTAGCTGTCAAGATAAATAGTATCATAATGCTAATGACAACTGGAGATCATTTCCTATAATTTAGCAACTGAATAATTTATCAATGTGTGAAAAAAAAAACTGCTAACTGCATACTGTGTTTTAATGTTAATACAGCAATGCACACTTACCAGTAATAACCAGATGTTTGTCAATATAAATATAGTAAAAATCGTTAACACTGTCATGTGCCTTTGTGCATTTTTACAACTCAATAAGTAAGCAATCATAGTCAAATTTAATGTTTTGACCTTGCAGAAGTGACACTAAAAAAAATGCCAAAACAAAGAAGAGTGTTCAACTGAAAACTAAGCATTATTCCACTCAAATCTTTCAAAAGCGCTAACAATGACAGCCATCAAGAGACATACTACCATGTTGTGCAGCATACATAAACCTATGAACAGGACATAAATAAGCTGATAAGTGCTTTACCAGTACTCCAACCCTGCTGATATCAAAGTGAAATGGAATTAAGAAAACTGTTATTAAATAAATCAGATAATAAATAAAAAATAATGAAAAATAATATAGATTAAATTTAAAAGAGATGATATATTTATTTAACATTTTAAATATCTCATTATTTTATTATCATAAATATAAGCATCAGTTTACAATACAAAATTTTGATTTTACTTGAGTAAGAGAACCAAAAGAATATGACGGCAATCTTTGATAAATGATTTCCTTTGCATTTTTAAAAGAGGTTTTCTGCATTGGAGTCACAAATATATTCTTCTTGCCAAGAATGCTGAAAATATATATATTCAACAAATATGTTATATATATGCATCTCATATGCCTAGTAACATCTTTGCTAAACTAATAAAGAGTAATCAAGTTTATAAAAGAAGTTTTTCACTTTTGAATGGCAATAAAATAAAACTGATATTCAAAAAAGCACATAAACTGATACATGCTGCAAAAAATTTATAACCAAGGGAGTTGTTAAAAACTTCAACAATTAAAGATTTCTACAAATGAATTGACTATTTATTTACTCTAACACCACTGCAGCTAAATATATAAATATAATTTTAGGTGACGAACACTGGGTTCATCATTCACGATGGAGGAAGCAAGATTCAGCAGTGTTTTTTATTTTTTACTTTGTACTAAGGGGTATGCTAAAAAAGAAAAGTAAAAAATTTTCTCCCTGCCTTAATTGAAGAGTGTCGCTACTGATGTGTGAAAGTATTCTATTTGAGGAAGAATACAGATTATTGTGCTAGCAACACTTGTGAGGATAGGTGTTTTCTATTTTTAGTGTGCTAAAAGTATGATTAAACTGACCTTCCGTGGCTTCTGTTGAAAAGATTCAAGTGTGTAAGGCTGACAGTACTATTTTATCTCAGTAAAATGGATGAGTAGTTTGCTATATTTTATGAGTTCAAAGGCAGTGTAGCTTGCTTAGATGTTTTGTTTTGATTTTCATTGGTTTTAAAAAAATAATTTTTAAAAGATATCATCCAGAGTATTTTCTTGCAAGTTTTATGTATTGCAAAATATTATAGGATATTTTTGCTATATTATACATAGGTTGGGGCAAAAGTCATGGCAACTCTTTTTTTTCTTGAAGATACCAGTCCGGTTGGAAAATGTGACATATACAGATGACAGGACAAGGTCTTAACTACATGTGTGGACAAAGAATAGCACTGAAATATCATAACACACGGATTTATTACGGTAGTATACAGGGCAATATGGCCTTCACCGTGCAAAAGAATGATAACACAATACACATAAAGTTGACATGAGTCCCTGTAGTTCTGTGCAGTCACTTTTCTGCCACGAGGAACAAAGTGGCAAACAATGACACCCCTGACGTCATACGCGACGATCATCATCAATTTGACTAGGAAAGGATTCTGACGGACCTTCTGCTACCTTGGTGATCCAGGATGTCGCCACTCCGCAGACTGTCATTTCAGTTCTGGTTTGTATGCCCTGGCCCAAAATTCATCGCTGCCGATTATTCGTGAAAAGAATTGATCACTGTCCTGTTGCCAGCGTGCAAAGTGGTCGGAGCATATTACATAGCACACCCACCTTTGAACTTCCGTCGGTGCATGCGGTACCCACCGCGAAGCGATTTTGCGTTGCTGTATGTAGCTTTGTAAATATCCTGTTGACCGTGCGTTTCTCGATGCCACTTGCCCTCTCTAACTCCTGTAACGTCCATCGTCTGTCTTCATCCATGAGGTACTCGATGACGGCACACTCACCGGTCGTTCCGAACGTTGCTCATCACTGGTTGACACACGTCCTTGCTGAAACTTTCTTTCCCACCGTGCTACTGTACGATATGGTAGGGCATTATTCCCAAGGGCTTCTACTAATTCACTGTGACATTCCATCGCATTTCTCCCTCGAAGAACGGCTAGTTTGATGTAAGCACGCTGCTCAACACTGGTTATTTCCATCTCGCACAACACTCACCAACTGACTGATTGTAGAGCCCTCACTACCACACAGCCAGCTATCACAGAGCTGTCTATTGTTCTGCATATACACTATGCCTGCAGAACTTCCACATGACACATATATGCTTTGTGATCCATTCACATATCTACAAGAAAAAAATAGTTGCCATGACTTTTGCCCCAACCCTCGTATTTTGCTACATTTTTAGTTTGTGCTAAATATATTTACCATTACAGTTTATTTTGTATATCTGAAGGTTAATTTAAAATTTGTTTTGGTGTTTTTGTATATCACGCTCTGAAAATGTCTTTTCCAGAAAAACGCCAAAAGCACAATTTAAAACTTCTTGTAGAACAGCTGGATTTAAGAATTGAACTGTAAGTGAAAAACTGCAAAATTTCAATCAAGTACTAAAAGTAGTAGAGATTATGAGGAAGAATTTGAGGAGACTATGTTTGAGACTATTATGTTAGAAAGAATCGAATGGGAACAAATAAAAAAATTAATGCTAGAATTAGAAAGAGATTCATTAGAAAAAGGGAGCAAAGAGAATGTGAGGTAAAGCAAAGGAAAATGCATATTAATTTTGAAGTAAAAAGATCAAAATCAGAGGCTATTTAGCCTCTGATTTTGATTAGCTAAGGAACTAGAGAATTCCCCCAATCTGAAAATGTTCAATGAAATGACAAACTTGGATTTAAGATGATCAATTCCAGAGTTAAATTTTAATCAATTGAATATTAGTTTATATCTTATTACTTTCAAACATTGGATGAAAAGAGTGCACATTGAGAAATGGTAACTCTTCTATTAAGCCTGTTACCTCTAGAAATAGTGCAGCTTATGGCAAAAGAGCTAGATCATCTGGCTGAAAATTTAGACCTTATAACAGAAGTTCAAATTGAACCTCGTGGTTCAAATTCTCCAAAAGTTCAAATTGAACCACGAGGCATTCAGGCAAAAATTTTTTCAACATCAGTAGAAAGCTGAGATTCACCTTACTTTAAATAAATAAGAATTTACTTATAAGAATGGCTTGCAGGCTTAGATGTTAAAACATCCAAACAGGGAAAGATTTAATGGTAACTGACCAATTAAAGAAATAAGTAAAACCAGAGATAAAAGAACATTTCTTAGATGAGTCGGCATGAAATTATCCAAACTCTACAATAACTACTAAGATGTTACGAAGATAGCATCAAAACCTTTGATAAAATTGTCAAAAGTGAGAAAACTGTTCTATCGACATCCGAAGTAAAAAAGAAAGAATCCAAGTTAGAAAATAGGCCGAAATGTAACCTTTCCCTAACATGGGATGGGTGAATCAAAATGAATTTGAAAAGAAAATATTCCCAAAGTGCTACTACTGAATGAGCTTGGGCATGTGAGGCCAACATATCCAAAATTAGAGAAAAATCAACAATCTGAGCCATTTAATGATATCAAAGAGAACATTCAGAATGGTTTCCTTAACTCTTATATGAGAAACAGGGAGATGAATGAAAAGTTATAAAAGAAGACTAATACAATGTTATAAAAGCTTATAAAAGAAGTTCCACATTTCTGAATGACAATGATATTTTGGGGGGGAGGGGAAACTGCTATTCAAAAAAACACGTAAATTGACATGCTGTAAAAAGTTTGCTACCAAGAATGTTGTTCTAAAAATTTTTTAATAATTAAAAATTTCCATAAATGTACTGAGTGTTTAATCTAACAACAGTGCAATATATATAAGGTGTCCTGAAAGTAAGTATCTACTTTTGTGTAATCAGACATTTCTTAAAAAATCCTGTATCAAAATATATAATATCCCATATCAAAAGAGTAAAAATGAATGAAGTAAGAGAAAAATTTCAATTTTCAGTCTTTATTTCTATGCATATAAAATCATCTCCATAGATGTTTACCCAATCATAATGAAATCCAATAAATTGCTATTTACACTGATTCTTAAAATTAAGAAGCAGGAACTTTTGACAGGGAAGGAAAGCGAGGAGATATTAGCAAGATGGAAGCCAGGAAAAAAGTGAAGCAGTTTATATAAATTTATACAAGTACATGATTCTTAAAATTAAGAAGCAGGCACTTTTGACAGGGAAGGAAAGACTAGAACTTGACTAGGCCTTATTTTGGGGGAAACCAATGCCAACCATCTGCCATATTTTTCTGCCAACTGCTTTTGTCACAAACTAACCATACTTCTAAATTTAATGCTTTTACTTTATGTTTTCAAGGCATTCTTAATTTTAAAGTTATTCGTTTAAGATTTGAAAAATACTTACAGTTTATGCGTTTGCAACACATTACATATTTAAAATATATACTGTGTTACAATCAAGCCTAGATAAATTACATTGTGCTGAGATAAAAATAAAAGTTATATTTCAAAAATATATAATAACCGTTTTCCTTAAAAATAACTTTTCTGTTGGAGATATGTTTCTTAATTTTTGAAATAAATGAAATATTTTAGATTGATAGTGAAATTAGGACATTTTAGTTGCCATGAATACATCAATTTATGGTAGAAATCCTGGCCACCTTTAGAGGTGGTCGTCAGCATAAGGATATTTATAAAAAACAAATAGGAAATTTTAGAAAAGTATTCAACAACCATCTATATATTTTTAATGCAATGTAATGAAATGCATTATATTAATCTGACAAAAAATAAATTTTACTTACTAACCTGTATGCTGGAGATAAGGCAAAGGGTGATTGTTCAGTGTTTAAAGTAGATGATTCAGTCTGAAAATGTGAATTTTTTTTGTTTAGAAACATATATGAACAAACAAAAAACAAGGAAGATTTTGTTAAAATTGTCTCATATGAATTAGAACATCGTGAAACTACTATTTCATTGCTGCCCATAGTTCAAAGACTTAGAGAAAAGCACAATTCTTATTGCAGAAAAGAAAGGCATGTGATCCAGGTTTTCTCTTTCCTATACACATAAAAACCAACATAGCTACATAAAAACCCCTCCTTAGAAATATTCCCTCTTTGCATGGAGGATGGACAGATAAAACTGTATATTTAAGAAGTAAATATTCATATGGGAAAAAAAAAATCAGTAAAAATATTTAATAAAAATCTGTTAAATTTGAACACAATAGTAGTTTTTTTAAAGATAATATAACAAAAATTTATTGATTTAAAAATAAAGTATATGACATTAGAAGTAACGTATATTATTAAGCATAAAAATTGATGCAGTTTGTATTCTTTGGCTCTTTTTAATGTTTTAGAAGATTCATTCAATGACAGTATGATAAGCCTCTTAGGCAGGATATTACACTTATCAGAGTAGTTATTTGGCTTTAAAGAGCCCCTAATACTGTGAAATCACAAATATTTTCCAATGCAAAATGGAATACTGTAATAGATCACTTGGAATAATTCATAAGAAACTGCCCCTTTTATTTACAGATACTTGAAAATGATGCTGATGAAAAAGGAATGTTTAAATATAATAATAAATAAAAATAATATGGTTTTTAAATAAATAAAACTCTTATAGCTGTTAAAACCTATTATTGAAGCCCTGGACAGGATGCAAAAACTGTTGTAATATGTTAATGGAATTTCATCATACTAATGGTGATCATAATTTTATAGAAACTTCTGAAATGCAGTTAAAATTGGTTTTAAACAGACAGTAACTTAAGACTGTTTTAGCTTCTATGTTTCATTTAAAGAACATGAGATCCAAAATATCAACTGCATAAGAAGAAAGTGCTAGGAAACAACTTCATGATATAAATCCCAATTTTCTGCCTTGTAATTTTTAGTTTGTTGAGAATTTCTTTATGTATGGCACAGAGAAGCATATTTTCACTTAACATATTTTGTTTCACAATATCATCATATAAAAAAGCACAGAAACTGAAGATTTGATGAACACCACACATGCGCACTTTAGCCTAACGGTGCATGTTTTCTCCTCTTTGTCTTGTGACACAGAGTCGTCTAGACTATAGAGGAGAATCTCACGATAATAGATGTTATGCACTGTATGCCAGCAGAATATTATGTTTCTAATTTTGTGTGTAAACTATATTTACTTTTGTTCATCCTATTCATATGTATACTATATGAAAATGCTCACACCATGTCATGCTCATGTAAAATATATCTAGAACCCACCTTATGACGAATATATGACAAGAACAAAAATAATTCTTACATAACAGAGAAAGCACAAGAATATTAACCACTCCTGACATTCACTTAAAAATACTACTGTTGCCCATTCACTTTGTAATACTGTATACAAAAACATTCTTTTAAAAAATTTTACAATAAAAATAGTTCCAGCAACAAAACTAGAATTTAATGGGCTTCATTATTGTCAATATAATAATGGAATTCCAAATTTTAAAAAATTTTTGTTGAAGGATATAAAGTTAGTTGAAAAAGTTAAAGTTAAGTTGAAAACCCAAAAAATACAACAAAATTTTAATTATATGACTTTTCTTTCAAGGTTTATTTAACACAATAAAGGACTACACAGCTATCTTCCTAAGAACAGATGCTTTGTGTAGAGTCTTTTGAAACTCATACTTTATGTTACACATGGGCGAAACAGTGGAAACCCTACAACAGCTGACTTATGCAATCATCAGGAACTGAATCTAGGATGAACTATCAGAATTTGACAGTTATATTCGCTTGGCCATTATCTCTTTTAAAGTTTATTAAATTAAACACAGAAATAAGAATGCTTATACATCTTAACACTAACATGAATTACAAAAAGTGAAACGGAAAGAATGAATGATAGAGAAAACAGACCTTGCTTTTATTCCAGAAATGACTAATAATGTAATCCTTCATTTCTGAATTAAACTCTTTATTATAAAATACTGTGATAAACTTCTTTTCTCCTTCACTTAAAACTTGTTTATATACCTGAAAATATAAATGTGAAATATTTTAACATAAGGAATAAAAATACTTTGAGAATGGTTCCATTATTTATATAAATTTATCTTAGAAGATGCTTTTCAGAACAATTTCATTTATGATCAGAAAGAAAAATAATATGGAAAAATGTCATTTTACTTAATCATTCTCAAACAAATCTTGTTTATATTACATAATATCTATTGGTTATGCACAGATATTTCATCACTTTACACCCATGCGAATTTCTGATGCCTTAAGTACAACCAATATTACAGTTCTGATACTTAAGTTACAGAATTTTCTTTGCTAATCTAAATGTATTTAAAAAATAGTACAGTAGAAGCCACTTAATGTCATTATTATCAAACTACCAAAGTCCAGTCAATTCATATACGAAAACATGAAAAACATATCATTGTCATAAAAAAATTCCATTAATGTTATCAAAATGTTTGGTAACATTAACAGAAAAATGAATTTTTCAAACTGAAATAAATTCTCCAAAAACAAGGTTAAAATAAATTTCTAAAATTCCCAAATGACTGAAAAATATCACCAATTGAAGGATGAGGTCAGCATACTGCTTAATTTTTATTTTAGTCAACCATTTAAATTTAGGCAAAAAAGTAACCTTTCGTTTAGTTCGTGAGGATTTTTAATATGCAAGGGGCTTTCTGAAATAAATTCAAGCATATCCTGTAATAAACTTTTTGAAGACTGTAGAGATAAAATCAGTGAATTCCCCATAAATGCTGATATAAGGAACACTAATCTGAGTATTAATATTAGGGGTGCAGCATTGATCAGATAATTTCCAGAAACATTAGACACAGTTCATAAATGAACTTTTGCATAATGCTTGTAAAACAATCCACTAGTAAGGACCTTTTTCTTACTTAAAATGAAGTGAAAGTGAAGTTCTAAGTATTTATATATTTCATTAAATTAGTGAATTCTATTGCTGATTTGAAAGATATTTTTTTCTCGTCGTTTATCTGACCATTAAATTAATGTTATCAAAATAGCCATGAGCAAACATGATATATTAAGCAGTGCCTACTGTATATCAAAATAAAACTGAAAATACATTTTTTCAAAAGCAGTAGTTACATGATTTTAATTTTCTTTGGCATAATGTATTTTATACCTATAAGGTGTTGAATTTTTGCTCATTACACTTATATAATAGATAATTTTAAATTCATGAATAACGTACATAACCTTTTTTTAAAAAAATAATGAATATAAAATTGATTCCATAGGCTTTTAATCTTTAGCTGGAAAATATTAATTCAAAGTTGGAAATCATGAAATAAAAGTAAATACAAATTCTGCATACTTTAAGTTATAATGATATACATCAATACTATATGGTTGCTCTACTCATGCAGAAATATAAAGCAACTATAAATTACATCCTAATACAACCTTAAAAATGAATATAAAATATACATTGAGATTACATCATAATACGTGAATATCTGTATTACTTGTGAGTACTCTGTGAACAAAAATACATAATTATATTACAAAATGGTTCCAGATGGCAGAATTCAAGTAAAATTTACAATATTTTAGTCATATCTTAATCATATTCAGACTTATACATATCTTAGTGAAAATAATAAAACATGTACAACCAAGAAATGCAAAAACTGAATATATTGTGCATAGGAACGCAAATCTTGGGTCATAAATCGGCAACAGTATCGCAAATATCTCTTAGTGCATTAAATTAACTACCGTAATTTCCGGAAGAAACGCCGCGGTGTTTATGTGTTTAAAATTTAAATTTTCAGCGGGTGCGGCGTTTAGGTGCACTAAAAATAAAATATTTCCTATGATGGTCATTGTACATAGTTTGGATGGCCTTATCATTGTGCATAGACTGGTGCTCTTCCCACGCAAAAGACCACTCAGTTGCCTTTTGCGAACGTTATTTTGTTTACATTCTTTCCATTGAACGGACCTACATGCCTTATTCACCCTAAATGAGATCTTAGAACAATAACATTCTTCCCCTTTCAAATCATCGTAACATCAGTTTGGCGCCCCTTGGATTCTGCGCCCGGGGACGCCCTTGCCCCCCTCTAGCTACGCCGCTGCCTGCAAACAGAGCTGTTGATGAAACTGGTGCAAAAGCTGTATCTGTGTTTATAACGGGGCATGAAAGAACATCATTTACATGTGTGTTAGCTTGTGCCGCAAACGGTGACAAGCTAAAGCCAATGATCATGTTTAAACGAAAGACTATTGTGAAGGGAGATTTTCCTAATGACGTAACTATTTGTGCAAACGAGAACGGCTAGACGTGCGAAATAATCATGCATGAGTGGCTACAAAAAGTTTGGCAGTGTCGTATGGGATCTTTTTTCCAACCAAAGGGGTTATTGATAATGGATTCCATGCGTGCTCATTTCTTTGAGTCAGTGAAAACCAGATGTCAAAAATTGTCTATGACCGAAGCAATAATTCCTGGTGGTTTGACAAAAATCTTACAACCGTTAGATTTGTCAGGTAACAAATCCTTCAAAGCTGAAGTCCGAAAGCGGTGGGAATGTTGGATGAGTGAAGGATTGCATACGTAAACCAAAAGCGGTAAACTGCGTAGAGCATCTTATGAAGAAATAGCAAAGTGGGCAGGAAGTGCGTGGAAATCGGTAGAAACATTGTCAATAATAGCAGGGTTCAAAGAAGCTGAAATTATATCCTTAGATAAAGAGACTGTAAACCAAGAGGATGAATGCGACGATCTGGAAGACTTAGATCAGGATTTACTAAATCTTTTTAATTCAGATAGTGAAGAATCAGATTTTGATGGCTTCATATGATGTATAGTTTGCTGTAATTCGTAAGTAAAATTTAAAATTTCCTTTTGTCATCCAAATTTAATATTTCGTTGTTGCAACATTTTTTTATAATATAGTCTGAGTATTACAAATATGGACTTCTTTAGTGGGTAAATATAAGTATATATGTGAAGGTAAATATATTTTCCACATTTCTTACCTTTTTATTTACTTTTGAGTTATGGTTTCATTCATGCATTTTTCTTAACTGGTATGTCATATATCAGGACTTAGGTTGAGTTTTTGCATCTATACGGCCCACGACGATGTCATGCGCAATTTAATGTATTGCGGCGTTTCTGTGTAATTTAAATTTTTTTCCTGCCATTTTTCTCGAGTGCTGCGTTTACACTGATGTGGCCTTTCTTCTGGAAATTACGGTAATTAAATACGTACAACCAATGAATGCATAAACTGGATCTTCAGTGAATGGAAATGCATCTTAAGTAACACATGCAACTTTTATAGAAGCAGAATTTACATTAGAAAACGTCTGAAGATGGCAGTACAATCAAATGAGCAAGTTTGACAGGGTTGCATCATTTGTCTAATAGAAGCGGGTTGGTGAAGTTAAAAACTATCTGGCTTATGAAACAATGTCATATCAAAGTCAGATAAAAATACTATCAGTAGTTCTAACAGGATATACATATAAATTATAAGGATGGCTGAAGGCTTAAGATAACAACTGCTAGAGGTAATCATACAATAAAAAGAACAGCCAGAAGAATATGAACAACTTCCCTATCTTGCCATTAAAAACCACACATCCACATCTCCTTGACATGTAACATGATAGCACATTATTATAAAAGGGATGACAAAGGCTGAATTTCAAAGTTGCCAATGTTACGCAAGGTAATTACTCAAATCTACTGCAGTTTTTGGTAAATTATTTTGTAAACTTTATAGTTGGCGAGAAAAATAAAAATGGGAGTAGCAGTTTGAAGCATTATAACTGTACTGGCGAATCTACATCATTTTCTGAATACACACACACACAAATAAATAAATAACTAAAATTTTGAATTGTGAGCAGTAATTACTATTTAACATTGGTAAAACAATAATGACATACAAAATTACTCACAGAAACAGACGAATGAGAAAGCTGGCCATAACAACTGACTATAGTTTTGAAACGAACTTCTTGTTCCATTACTTTGCAAATAGCAAAAATGCAGCACATAATTATCTTTAATAAACAATAAAACAATATTAATTATAATCATTATTATATAATAATAATATTAAGAGAAAAACTTCTAGAAATGTAAATATTTTATATATAATATAATATTTATAAACAAATTTTGCTCCATAATTACATTTTCAACTTATTTCCTAAGAACTTCCAGAATTTATACATTTTCATTTAAATAAGAACAAATATTAGCATTCCTACAAGCATAGAGGATATAGCTCTTTTAAAATTAGAATGTTTATTTATTAAGAGGTAAAATAAAACAAATTCGGTACAATTTATGTGTATGTAAGAAAGGACTGGCATAACTTTGTCCATTTACAGTTTACCAAAGGTATTTATAGATGTTTATATGAAATCTATATTACCTTAAAATTAATTTACATTCCATGTAAAAAACCCTAAAGTTATATTTTATTCTTAAAACAATCAGATGATGTTATTGTTAAAAACAATAATAAAAAGCATACCAAGATTTCAAGGATTCCTATACAGTAGAAAAATTCCCCATAGCAAACTTACACAGTAATGAAAAGCTAATATTTGAATTTTAAGAGCTATAAAATGAAAATAGGAATACATGGTACTAGCCAAGTGATGTAATAAATGGATGCTTATATAACTGGATTATAAATAAAGTTATGGTAGATGTTAATAAATTGTATATTTATTTATATTGTTAATTGATTCATTAGGCAAAATGTTTTTCAACATTTAAAATATTCATAATTATCTAAATCATTAGTCGTTATTTATATTACTATGACTTTCTTTAATTTTACTTGCACTTTGATTAATTAAATTCCCATTTTGTAGAAAATTTCAAATTCATAAAATGTTACATACTAGGTATGGACTGTGAGCCAGATGCAGCATTTTGGCTTACATATAACATACAGCAGTTTTATTAAAATATAGATAGAAATTGTTGTATGGTATGCTATTTTTAACAATTTAGTTGTTTAAATTACATTATATGTATCTGAAAACTGCACTATAATCATTCAGATTAATAAACAAAAGGAAAGCACTTCTGTTCTTGAGACTGATTTAGCAATAGTACTTTTAGAACTGGCAATTCCTAATTGCACAAATAAAGACAAATATACTTATCTAAATGCTGCATTAATGATGTGCATCAAATCTTACTTGCTTAGCATAGCGAGTATACAAGTGTTAAATTAATAGTAGCAGCAATATGTCAATAGTTATGAAAAGATTTTAATACCATAGATACCAACACTAATAATTCCTCAATATTAGCAGTGATTATGTCATGTTTTGACAAATTACTGGAAGACATTGTACACCACACCATCAGAATGTCCACTTCTGTTGATGCTTTATAGCTGTCACCTTAAAGTGCATAAAAAATCTAAAGCAATTTCCACAATTCATTGCCAGATGACATCATTGCTATTCGAAAGAAAAATGTAAGCAAAGTAAGATTGAAATGCAATCATGAGCGAGAGGCAATATTAGCCACTTATGAGCTTTTTAAAATTGAATTGAATGAAATATTTTGTTGTTCAGTTGTTGAATTTCATTGACTTGCAATTTAAAAAGAAACCAAATTTCAGAAGTAGGATGTTGATGTCAACTTCCATACCTGAACACCATTGAAGGTCTGTTGTGAAAACAAAAGAGGCAAATGTTTATTTTTTTAAAAGCTTTTAAATGTATCAATGAAAGTTATTAAATGCATGTAAAGATATCTTAAAGTATTGTATCAAAAAAAGGTCTTAAAGTATCTGTAATGACTTTTCTCAACAAATGATACAAGAGCGATCTGATTAAACTTGCAAAAGAAATTGGTAAAATGCTCCCACCATATGCCATCGTGGTTACAATTAAAAATATCATCACCAATAATAGCAAAAAATTATGATGAACCATTGTAAAACAAGTTTTTGAAAGGATTATTGAAGAGAGACTCAAGAAAGATGGAAATAAAGAATTAGAAAAAGAAAGGTAACAACTAATTGCAGAACGGGAAAAACAAATATGGTTAGAGTTTCAAGAATGCAAAAAACAAACACAGTTAGAAATTGCAGATTGATAACAAAGGAATTTTAAATTGCAAAAGCTAAAACTTTTAAACTAGAAAAAAAAAAAAAAAAATGTTCCAAACATCACCGGAAAGTAATATAACTACAAGGATACAAGAAATGTATCGATTTGAAAAGTCTTATGCAAAAATTCGATTTAAAGGATAGAGACATAGCTTCATTTTGAATTATATTTGAATGTCAAGCCAAACCAAATATTTCTTCTCGCAGAAAGGTCTTATTTGGTTCTGGAAATCAAACTATTCAACAAAAAAGTCTTAGTGTGACAGTTGTGGATTAAAAATTGGTAATGTAATGGTAAAATATATTTCGGTATTAACTGTTCCAGATTCGGTTCTGTTAGTTAATTTATTGGTTGGATAAACATTCTTAGGTTTACCACATACTGGGCATGCTAGGGTCGGTGATAACTTGGGCTTTGCAAAAGATTATCCATTTACTGGGTTAGATTGCACTGAAAAAAATTCATGTATTAAATTACAAGCGGATGAAACAACAAAAATAATAAATAATAGCGTAAATTTTGTAAAGGTGAAAACTGAATAGCAAGTATTCTATCCTGCAACAAATGTTAATTATACTAATAAAATTACGCTCGACACAAATGTAACAAAAACAAAGGTTTATACTTTTTTTGTTATTGGCAAGATGTTCAATTGGCACGTGGAATATGATCACTTTCATGTTAGAAGCAAAGCAGATTCTCCAGAACACTTGCATAGAAAAATACCAGATCTAGCAAATAGCACTGGTTGAGAATTTGGCTCTGGTGTTTAATTTGACCAAGTTGAAGGTAATGTGCCATATACGCCTGAAAGAAATTTTGTAACAAGAGGCTACCATTTCTATGGAGTGTGCAGAAATGATTCAAATAAGAAAGGACAGTATGAAAAGAGATTTGCTGATGAGGCCCATTTAAACTCTAGGGATTAAAGAAGATATTCATTACCAGAAAGGATACCTGAGGAATTTGCAAGAGAGAAAGGTTCAGAAGGCTGGAAGAATTTGTATATTCAGCCACATGATGAGTGAAGATAAACCCCGGCAAATGTCATCTTATTTGGAACCCAAGCAGCAAGAAATACATGAAATGCCAAAGAAAGGCCAAATTACTCAAGCTGAGAGTAAAGAAGAAGTACTTAAAAAGTGTTGCCTCCTCTTACATTCATGTTGAAAGAAGTAAAAGAGTGAATGGCAAATAAGATGTATCAAATTATCGATGATGAAACCACAGTTAACGAACACATATAAAAAAAGTATCACCTTATCCCAAGTTGAGAAAAATAATATACAGAATGGGAAATAAAATAGATCAAATTATAAAACAGGAGCAGAAAAACTCTTTTGGATTAAGTGATGAGAAGATAGAAAAGCAAGATATTAGCAAAGAAGCTTTAGTCAAGAAAATAGCACTGCATATTACAGCCAAAATGAAAGAAACAAGCAAAAAAAGTAACAAAAGAGGTGGATCAAGTTATGCTGAAAGAAATAATAAAACTTAAATTGCAAATGCACCAAATGGTGAAAAAATACAGAGAAAGTGCAAAAGCACACCACCATATATTCAATCAAGGCTGAGAAGGATATGAGAACAAATGACTAAGAAAATGAATCAAAAGATAAAGGATGACCTCATATATCCCACTGGACAACTTAATGAAAAATTGAAGTAGATGCGGAAGATGCTATTTATTGACTGGATGAGCATGAAAAACATCCTAAAGTCAAATACATGCTGATAGATAAGAAAACTATTTTAACAAAAATATGGAAGTGAAATATGGGTGAAGATAGAAGAAAAATTTTCTGAGAATTTTACTTCTGATAGAACTTTAAAATTTTGAGTAGTAAAGTGTAATATAAAGTAAAAGTAAAGGTGTTTTTATGGTAATGCCAATGATATGTATTAAAAAAATTGAGAAAAAAATTGTAAGTTAAGATCCCTGAATATTGACAATTTCCACAATTCTCTGCCAGATGATGTCATCATCATTCAAAAGTAAAATGTAACTACGAGCAAGACGCAATGCTAGCCATTCGTGAGCTTTTTTGAAAATTAATTGAATACAGTATTTGCTGTTTGGTTGCTGAATTTATTATTTAATAAAAAATACCAACAGTGTAGAAGGAGTACAAGGGTTAAATAAAAAGTTGTGGCAATATCTCAATAGCTATGAAAGGACTTTATTACCACAGATATCAACACTTGGAATCCCTCAACATAAGCAGCGATAATGTCAACTTCTAAAAAATTACTGGAAGACATTGTACACCACACCATTAGAACCTGTTGATGCTTCACAGCTACCATCTTAAAGTGCATATAGCACCACTCTGCTGCAATGTTGTAACAGATCCCATGGAGTGGTTCTATCATTTTTGTGAAGAGTTCATAGTCATCGGATTCATATTGAGTAAATATGGAAGGAATTCCATTTATGTCCCATCACCAACATCTCAGAAGATTCCTGATAATGTTTGCATTAAGACAGTATGCTTTTTTATGGAAGATGGTGGGATCCATCACCTGAGACATCTGCATCCAGCACTCAAGAGAAAATGACAATACTTGTTGGTGACAAATCACATCCTTTTCCAATGATGGCAATGCAATGTACAGGAACAAATGACACAGAGGCCAGATATGAGTCTATGTGACTATGATCTTTTTGTCAAAATGAAAGAACCACTGAGAGGGATCCATGATAATACCAGAAAGTAAATTATCCAAGTTTTAGAATAATCACTATAAAGCATTTATACAAGTGGGCATACTGATGGTGTATGATGCCTTCTAGTAACCTTGGCAAAAGGTGATAGACATGGCAGGTGGTTATGTTGAAGGATTTAGAGTTTATACCTATTTTTTCAGAGCTACTGACGTATTAAAACTACTATTATTTTACTCTTATATATGTTTGTAACTTGCAACATAGGAAGCAAAATGCAATGATGATCCAATCTATATATAATAAATGAATTAAACAATTTAAGGTTAAGTTTGATAGTTATTAGCTGTGTGGAAAAAATTGAACTATTTACCATTTTATAAATTGGCAACTCATGTTAAGATTAGGAAGACTGGATTCTTTTCCCTGATGTCTAAAGCCATCATTTGACAGATTGAATTAAAACCAAGAATACACAGTTGTTGCCACTCCTGTTAAGTTTAGAATTTATTGTTTTGGTATTGTTTAATTATTTGGTTTCCAATAAGTTTGATCTATGCATTTGGTAACCCAGTTTTTATTTGGAATGTTGTGATCAGGGAATTACTGTTCTAAGCTACACAGTATTTAATTTAGGCTAAGAGAATACTAAATATTATTCATCATTAAGATGTACTCATTTGATTATTATGTTAAACCATACACATAAATATCTTCATTAATCTTTGTCTGTTTGTAAAGTAAAAATAAATCGAATATGAAACGATGCTGGAATTTTGAGTTAAAACAACAGTAGAATTTCTTTTAACTGGTACTAATGGGACCTCACTGATGCCAGATAAGAGATTTTTCTAGATAATTAAATATATATTTCCAGAACTCACTTGTTCAACTTTGATGCCATCTGCAGAAATTGCAACATGCTAAGTCCATTGGTCATGTTTTTTTAAGCTGTCAGAAAATTGAAACTCACATAGGTTATTTAAGATTAAAATCCATACAGATGATTTTTATATTTCAGAAACTAAACAACACTTTAAAATTACCATATAGTATATCAGAACATGAAACTTGCAAACTTCTTAGTGTGATAATGTGAAACTTTGAATGTCTGTCTGCTTACAAAATTATTGCTCTAATTTTAAAAACTTGTTGCTTCACAGCATCATGAACAGACATAGATGAAAATTTTTTAGCCAAATCCAAATACAAAGACTGAAATCCTTAGTCAGCTTCCTTCCATGTAGCTTTCTTGTTTTGTGCGCCATCTTCATCTCCATCCTTCCCCTTCTCCTCATTACCTTTTTCCTTTCCCACTGCATGTCAGATTATTCCGCTTCATTTTGAGAATGTTTGATAGAAAAAAACTGACTACACATCCTGCACCTCCACTTCAGTAATACTAATCTTTTCCAAACATGAAACTAAATCCAAGATATGAGTCACGAACATCCTACATATTTTAAAATCCAGGGAACCTTTGTTACTGAATTCATCCTCTACAAACATTATCATAGACCACAATTTAAGCCAAGCACCATATAATGTAATGCTTTTTATATCCTTCTAGACAAGAGACAAAATAAATTCAGCATCTTTCAATATACACTGCTGGCCTTTAAAACCATGAATGAAAGCAAATACAATGATATTTATTGCACGTAAACAGTATGGCATGAAGACAAAATGATTAAATTTATAAGCGGTTTGGGGGTTTACAGAGGGCAAAATTAGTAGAAACAGATGCCAACCCAAGCAGCTAAAACGGCCCTTATCCGGTTAGGCATCGAGTCGAACTGGGCTTGGATGAAAGAAACAGGCAACTCATTCCATGCTGCTCCACAAGTATGCCACACTTCATCAACCATATTAGCTGGAGAGCGGTGGTGGGCCAGTCTCTCAGCAACCCATGACCAGATGTTTTCAATGAGTGACAGATCTGGATACCGTGCAGGCCAGGGCAGCAATCAAATACGTTTTGTGTACCCAGTGGCTGCCCAAAACATCACACCAGGTGCAGGGCCCCTATGCCGATATTGAATGCAAACAGGCGATGTGCGGTCTCCTCGGACATTCCAGACACATATACGGTCACCAGAATATTGCACGCAGAACTGTGACTCGTTTGAAAAGGCGACATTGTGCCACACCTGTACCTCTTTGTCGTTTGGTGCATCAGACATTCCGTCTCTCTCTCTGCTACATTGTAAGAAAGACGAAGTAATTCACACCCTGCGCTGTTATGTTAATGGGTGCCTTTACTGCATAATTTTTCATTGCATTCAAATATTTTTAACAATAACTCTGTATTTTAAATGGGTTTTAACCATAAACATTAAACAGAATATTTTTGTGTTTTGTATTTAATTATGGAAAGCCACGAGGGCTAATCTGCCTAAAGGAGGATGCTTTTCGTGGAGGATTTTCTAAGGAAAATGGGCTCGTATACCTTACACGGGGGAAAACCACGAAACGCCCATGCAGCCAGCCGTTCGCGGATTCGAACCTCAAACCGAACTACAGTGTTCAGCGTCTTTACGCCGCTTGCTGGTGGGCGAATATTTTTGGATGCGTATTTTTATGACGTATGTAATGAGATCAGAAGACAAGGATGGTACTGTTTAAATACATGGAAATATGAAAATTTGAAAGAAAGTGTATAGAAATGTGGTTTGCTGCACTAACGAACAAGTATTAATCTCTTCATTTCATTGAATCAGTAAGCGATATTTTTTGCTTTCCGATAGTTCATTCACTGTAAATTATGTTTTTTTTACCAAATATGATCATGCTTCATATACAATATAAAGAAATTTAAATAAGAAGGGACTATTTTGAATGCAGACTAAAAAAAAGATTTCAAGTCAAGCTTATCATCAAAAGCAACTGTATTGAAATTTTAATAGTTCAATAACATAATCCAACTCTCTTAAGATGAATTCCTTTATATATTTTATTTTCTCATAAATTTGATTTTCAATTTTAGAAAAGACATTCTTTTCACTGCTATCATTTATAGCAAATAAAGTAAGCCGTAACTTCTTATGTTATCAATGCTTTACTGCTTATTTTTGATGTACTTAATTCTTAAAACTTTTTCTAAATTTTTACTGAAAGGAAGTCATTGCCTGGATATGCAATTCAAATTTTCACAATCTGTTACAGACATTTATTACCTCTTGAATTAATTTATGACATCATCAAAACTGCATTTACATCACTGTTACCTTTTCCTGTGTTGAAACTCAGACTAATATGACTTTTCATAGCACATTAAAAAATAATTATGAATGCTTTACTTCTGAAAACGTGGCTTACTAGCAGCTGAGTGAACGCTAGTAGTTCAATTCAGATTCAAAGCCCAGCAAATGAGCAAGTTGTATAGTTGTTTTCATGATTTTTCCTATGTCTAACATAGATACAATGAAATTTACCTTATAAATTCCTCCACGAAGGTATTCCTATACTTAGGCAGATAGGCCTCATGTGCTTTGTCATAATCAAACAAATCAAACCAAACTTCCGAGTGCTTACTCAAAAATATATTTTCCTATTTTTGTAAACTAATGCAGCTAACCTGAGACTTAAGATTAGATTCTTAGAATTTTAAGCAATAGCTAATCTACCCAAATTAATTTCATTTGAAATTTATTTGATTTTTTGCTTTTTATACTGGAATAAATAAATTCTAGTGCTATATGTTTAAAATTAAGCTTATATGATATCAGTCACATTTACAAACAGATGTGAAATAATGAGACAAGTGGAATTAGTTGCATATTGTGAAATGCCTAGCTTTTCCATATGCACTCTATAACAAAAAAAAAAAAAAAAAAAAAAAAAAAAATGATGCACCAAAGAAGAAATCATCTGATTATTTTGAAATTTTGTATGCATAAATATTTTGACCAAATATGCAAATGATTAAAATTTGGTGTCCAGTGAATGAATAGTGCAATCTCCAGAGGATCGTAACTGTGCATCCAGCAGATGTGTATACGGAGCTGTTCTTAAACTGTTGTTAAAAATTTCTGTTGCATTGCGATTTAGGATACTTTTCAATGACTGAAAAAGTGCTTCAACGCAGGATTCTAGCTCATTGCGAGCAACAGTCAGAGTTTGAAAGAGGCCGTATCATTGGATTGAAAGAGGCAGGTTGGGCAAATCGGAGAATCGCTCATCATATGAGTCGAAGTGACGTCGCGATTAGAAGATGCTGGTAAGAATGGGTGCACAATGGCAGATTTCAGCGTCATGATGGTAGCAGTCGACTTAGGGCCAGAACAGATTGGGAGGACAGAGTGATTGCCAGATCAGCTGTCACAGAGCCCGATTCATTGCTATCAACCATTAGACGTGCGACCTGCACATCATGAACATTCACAGACAACTGATAGAGTGAAATCTATGCTCATACTGACCATTACGTCACCTGCCACTCACACCTGCACACTATCAAGCCAGATTACAGTGATGCTTGGCTTGATCAAGTTGGAATGATGCTGACTGGGGACATATAGTCTTTAGCAATGAATCCCGCTTCCAACTGTGTCCTGACGATCATTGACGACATGTTTGGAGAGGCCCAGAGCATCGTCATTAGAGGCACACTTATAGCACAGTGGTACGTCGAAGACATTCTGAGACCTGTTTTGCTACCGTTCCTTTTGTAGTACCCTGGCCTTATTTTTCAGCAAGGTAATGACAGACCACACATGGCATTTGTTGCTATGAACTGTCTTACAGATTGTCAAACACTTTCTTGGCCAGCCAGATCGCCAGATCTCTCTCCCCTCCAGCATGTCTGGATAATATATGATGGGAAGGCAACTGCATCTACCAAGGAATGCTGATAACCTACCCCGACAATTGGATCAAATTTGGCAAGCAATACTGCAAAAGACCACCCGGGAGCTTTATCAGCCCATGGCACGTCGTGTGGCAGCTTGCACACACGCTAGAGGTGCGTCAACACCTTATTGGGCTCATTATTTTGTAATTATGTAACTCTGAAATGAATCAATCAATTGTTCTGAAATTTTAATCATTTTCTATGTACATAACCTTTTTATCCACCAATTTTTGTCTCCATCGGGCAACTCCTTCTTGGTGCGTCGATTTTTTTTGTTATAGAGTGTATTTCCCAAGGTATATAGACATTAGCAAAAAGATAATTTATAAAAGTAACTTACTTGATCTATATGCCTACCCCTCAGCAAATGACTTTTCTTATATATCACATGTTCTATGCAAGTCCAGATATTTGCTTTCTAAAAATTAAGTATAGTTTATTTTTTTATAATATTAGTTTTGTAATAATATATTGATAATAGTGCCACTAAATTCTAAATTGCACAATTTACATATGTTAATTTTAAATATTTATTTAAAAAATGCAGGTGTTCAGCAAATTGGTTACAAACTTTCAAGAGAGATAGAGTACACCTAGATGATAAAATCACATAGCAAAGCATGGTCAGATATGATTTCTTGGCACGTTAGTAACAACACAAAAAATCTGATGTGTACACCACATGACTTCCTTGTACGGAATATTAAATTATACGCAATTTTTCCTGCATTACATTTAAACTTATTTCCTCAAATTTCATTAGAGATATATTTCTCATTCAATAAATTCAGTTCTCACTTTTCAGAAAGGAAAAATACATAAAAACTCAAAATATTTTCATTAAAAATTGAAAGATATAGAAAAATATAAAACACCAAATATGGTTAGAACAATTAAAAAACAATTTTTACAATTAAAATTACAGTTTCTATGCAAAAACAAGCAATTCGGCCAGCAGGCAAGAAGGCACATGTTTTAGTGCATGAAACTGAAAGTTTCCTTTTGGTTCCACTCGACAAAAAGACACTGAAGGTGCAAAAAGATTTCATTCACTTTCTGCTGTTTCAAATGTAAACAAATATGGCTGCTATGGTAAAAATAAGCTTAATTGCACTTAACTTTTAAATTGTTGATAATTCTACAACTATCGCACACATATTAACTAAAGGCATAAAAACCTTAACCAGAAGATAAGAACAACATAATTCAATCATTTTTAAAGCAAAAAATGCACAATTTACCAACATATAAGAATAAAAAAAAAACTGAGCTCACTGAGCTAAGTGACAGAATGGGCATATAAGAATATGCATGGGCATATGTTACTGTAAAAGCCTGAAGTCTGGTATATCCTAGTTTGCACTGGTAAAACCTAGCTTTTACCAACGAGGCTTAGTAAAAGTCCAAAGTATCTTTTAATATGATTCCATTTTGGACTTTTACCCAGCCTTTGCATTAAAACCTAAAAATTACCAACGCCTTCTGTTAAAAGCTGGAACCTCTGCAACTTTGTGACACTTTCTGTTCCGGCTCCTTTTATTTTGCACATTTGCCACTTAGCTTTGAGCGAATTCAACAAGTGATAAATCTACAAAAAAAAAAGCAGTTTGTTTCCATTTCAACATTATTTTACATTTTATGGATGAAAGGATGAGTTAGGTTATGCATTTGAGCTGACATCTGTTAAAAAAAAAAAATAAGCACACGAAATTATTTAACAAATGAGAAATACACTTCTTTAATAAATGAAGTGAAAGAAGCAAAATGTGTGAAGCAAAAAGAATCAGTTCATCACAGAAGATTTAAATGCTATAATAGTCTAAATATTGAAGGAGAGGGCAAACTTATAGCCCCACTATCTGCAGAAAAAGTAGAAATCCTGTATTATGTTACAACTGATGAACTCTTCAACATCATACATAATGCTCATATCTCAGTTGGCCATGGTGGAAGAACTGTTTGATTAAGGAACTGAATCCAGAGTACAAGAATGCAATAGTAGAATCTGTCATCATGTATTTGAGACTATGAGAACCATGTCAGAAGAAAAAAAAAAAAAAAAAAAAATTGTGAAAAAGGGGATTGTAATCAAACTAGTTGTGCAAAGCGAAATGAATTCTCGATGTCAAGTCGACCTAATAAATATGCAGTTCAATCCTGTACGTGATATGAAATTCATTTTAGTGTATCAATATCATCTTACAAAATTCGTCCTACTCCGAAGTCTGAGCAGTAAAAGAGCTGATGAAGTAACATATTACCTTCTAGATATTTTCACAACTTTTGAAGCCCCGAAATTCTCCATTCCGACATAGGTAGGTAATTTTGCAACCAAATCATGAACAGTGTATGTGATATGTGGAGTGATATAAAAATAATTCACGATAAGCCAATACAAAGTCAACTGCAAGGTTCTGGCGAACGGGTAAAGCACGATACTGAGAACATGTTGACAACACGGATGGAAACAAATGAGACAGAAAAGTTGTCGCAAGGATTAAAATTTGTTCAAGCAATGATATACAAAGCATATTATGAGGGAATCAAATGTTCACCTTATGAAGCTATGTTTGGTTGTCCAATGAAGCTGGGACTTGCTAACTCAGTTTATCAACGTAATTTGTTTAGTAACATGGACACTGAAGGAAGAGGACTGAAGAGAACTTATATTAATAATGAATGCATGGTTAAAACCAAAGATGAAGGCACTAATCTCGAATGAACAGTTGATTTAGAATCAAAAGATAATAATAATAATAATACATGTGAAAATGAATCATGCATAATGATGGAAGTAGATACTGAAGTTCCAATCGAAAAAAAAAAAAAAAAAAACCAGATGTATACTCTGATGCAATGAGTGGCAAAATCAGTAATAGTCGTTATTACAGATATTAAAGATGATGAGTTTTACGTTCTTGGTAACGTACGTTTTGGTTAAAGAAAATTTTTTAAACATCGAAGAAGTTGGTACAGGAGACATAAGTGTATGTGAAGTAGAAAAAACTTTCTTTAATTGAGGGACAAGGACTCAGAAAATGCAATTGTTTAAAGAAGTGTACTACGAAGATGTGTTCATGCAAATCAGCTGACTTATTTTATAATTCAAAATGCCATTACAATCAGACTTGTTGTAATAGGTAGTAACAATCATTAGATGTACTGAAGAAAAATATATTACATTCTTCTTATTTTTTAAATTTCATAATTTTTATTAATTTTTTCCTGATCTATCAATTTAATTTTTTTAACTATTGCCAAAATTATTAAAAAAATATTGAAATCTCTTCAGAAGTTATCGAGAGAATTCTGTATTAGTTCAGCTGTTTCACATGAGATCTTGTTTGTGAAATGGCAAAAGTATTGCATTTTTTTCTTTTTATTTCTTGAAACTCTTTGAAAATAATTGTAAGACGGTTTCATCAACATAATCTTAAATGATATCTTATTTTGAACACATTTACAATTTATATTATCAGTTTAAAAGTGTGTTTTAATTTTTTTTGGGGACACACTGTGTACGATATATCTGTGAATGGAAAATCCTATCATAAATAATCTCGTTTTGAGCTTTTACTGGAAGGCATTGGCAACTCCTAGGTTTTACCGCAGAAGCTTGGTAAAAGTTCGAAATGGAATTATATTAAAGTATACTTAGGACTTTTACAAAGCCCCTATGGTAAAAACTAGGTTTTAATGGTTATATATTTATATACTTTTAGTGCGGCCGATTGCAACCAAAAAGAGAAGTGCACATCTACATGTTATAGCAGTCATATACACAAAATTTTAATGTTCTGAGGCTACTTGTTTTTGAGTTATGCGAAATATGTACATACAGACGTAATAAAGAAATATCTCCTAAATCCATTTTAAATCAATTTTATATAACCCTTTTGGTGAAAAACAGTCCTTTATTCTGCCCTTATATACTGATATTTTATAGTAATAAAAATCAGATATTTTCGTTGAAATACGAAATCTGGAATTTTTTGTTATTACAATTCTTCCTTTACTTCATATAAGGAAGTAAAAAGGAAGGATATGAATAGTGTTATAAAATATGTTTTACCATGTTTAGTACAGCAGAAACCAACAAATAAGAACAAAAACAGACAACAATCGTCATTAAAGGAAGGTGTTCAAAATTACGCCTACAGACCATGATGCAGGCCTCACATCTACGGCGCATGGAAGATGCATGATGCATGGTTTCTGTATCACAGTCCGGGTCATAATTTTGAACATCATCTTTGATGTTTTTGTTCTTATTTCTTGGTTTCTGCTGCATGAAGCTTAATAAACATAATTCTCACCCTGTTCCTGTCCTTTTCCTTTCCTGTGTTTTGTGTCATCACTAACGCACCAGGGAAGCATTTTTGACCATGTATTGCTATGTGTTTGTCTATTGTCTAGGCGTACTCTTCTGAAAGTCTGTAATCAATTTGCTGAAACACCCTGTATATATAAGCACAAAACCAAACATGCTACAAAGAGATAAGCTTTAAAATTTAATTTCTGTATTTGACAAAATCATTAGAAAATTACTGAAAGAGTAGTTAAAAGACTTAACTGTTTCCTTTAAAATTTGTAGCATTTCACATAGATTTTCAAATCGTTGATATGCTAAACGGCTTACTGTGTAAAAAGAAACAAACATACATCACAAAATTTACAAAGATTTCATATTAAAAATGGTGTTTCATTAAACAGAAACATATAACTTAATTCAATTATTTATTAATGTTTAAATCATAACATATGTAAATTAATTTTAATTTGAAAAATATTAACAAAACATATAGTGAAAAAAAAAGTTTTATTAGAAATACTTAATTCATCAAGTTATTCATTAGCTAAAATAAATGCACCTCATAAATTATTGTAAAAATAGTAATTAGATTTTAAGAAGAAAAATTTTTGAAGAGCAGAAAAGAAAAACTGTTCATGTGCATTGCAGTTATACATACCCAATTTTTATTTTAAATTTAAATAAATGTATAGGAAATATGTTAATTATACAACTTTACAATACTTGAAATCATATTTAATAAAAGTTGTTCTCCAGAGAAAAATTTAACACCCTTAGATCAATTAAAAAAAACTAATGCATTTTAAAAATTATGAATTAGCAAAATTATTAAATTTATTAAAATCATTACAAAATGGAATTTTTTAAATTAAAACTATATCTCATAGAAAATATTGGGCTTTAAAAAAAAGCACAGAATATTAATTTTAAACTATATCTTCTATAAAACTATCACCAAATATTGTTCTGTACAAATGATTTTAATCTCTTTTTTGTTTATATTTACCTTTATAATATAACTTTTATCTAATTGAAGCCTAAATGACTTAATTATGTGAAGTTAGATAATACTATAAAAACCTTTATTTAGAAATATATTAACTGCATGGCATGTATGAGGAGTAGTAGAAAAATTCTGAGATGGATCCTTGTTTGGGGACCAAAAACTAAAAAAGAAAAAAATATATATATTAAGTTATACAATCATATCAGTTTTTTTTCAATATATTTAATGAAATACAATACATGATTTTTACCTAGAAGTTTGCCCTGGGGATGCATATTTTGCTCTACATGATGGAGAGCACCCAGTTCCTGATAAACCTCCAAATACAGAAGAACCCTAACATTAAAAATAAAGAATATGAATTATAATAATTTACTTTATTAATCACATATTTTTAAATACACTGGGTAGTCATAAATATATTTCACTGTATATTTATGATATATTTTGCAGTTTTATATAGTATAACAATTTCTTCAACTGAACTGATTAAAATATTAAGATATCAAGAAAAGATTTATGAAGAACCAAGTTTCAATGATTACCAATAAATAGATCTGCTTAAGTGACAAATAACAGATTTCCATAACATACCAAGTTATTTGAGACATATAAAAGGGCAAGTTAAAATCTCCAGACATTTCGATAACAGCGTTAGGAAGCACTTTGCCTTATGAGATTGAATACTAGCAAAATGGGGCAATGTGGCAGTTACATTTCATCAATTTAGATGCTATAAGAACTTGCAGAAAGCTCATATATCATAGCTGTCATCCATGAACCATGAAAAACCGGAATTTTCTCATGCCAAAAGTGGAGTTTCGGGGAGGGGGTATTCTTTATGGGTAGTACCATTTTACATAAACTCTAAATTGACTTAAACTCGCTTTATATCATGCGATTCAGGCTATTCCAACTTTTATAGTATAATTCAGCCATAAAAATGCATTAAAATTTAATTACATATTCTAAATCACATATTGTTTGGTTAATTTCATTTTATATTTTTCTTACATTTTTATGCTGGCTTATTAAAGAATTTTCAAACACCATAAAAATACATCATGTATGTACTATTGTGTGACTAAACTTAGTAATCTGACATATACTGATATAATACAAAATTAAATACAAATATTTACTGAATAAATATTGGTTGAATCTTAATATAAAATTCTACACATATCTATTGTAGATTAAGGACACTAAGATTAAAAAAAAGTAACAAGAAAAATTAAGAACATCATGTCTGGGAGAGACAATGAAATCTGAACAATTTAAGTTTCCTTAATTCAATCAATTTCATTTATTGCTGAAAAACACTCTCAGTGGTAAAGACTAAAAACCGGGAATTTCAATGATCTGCTAGGAGACTAGGAGATGTGATGAAAAACTAAGAGTGTCTCAATAAAACCAGAAAAGTTGATAACTATGCTATATCAACTCTTGCAATTAGAAAGAATATTCTCTATTTAAAAAAAAATAAGCATAACTGAAAATTAGAACTGGCGAGGATATAAAAAGTAGTCATAATGATAGCAGAAGCTGCAACTGTCACCACCAACAGATGACTGGACTGCTAACCACTAATACTAGGTTTAGCAACATATGTGCAGAAATAAAGATATGCAAATATGCTATATTTGAGAATATAAAAATTTTTGCAAAATAATATGTTATCATACAATATCAGTTATCAATAACTGTTACAACAAAGAAATTCAGAGAAAAATTATGATAGTTATTCTTATATTAAGACACAATAACACGCCGAATAAATACTAATTCAGAAGTCAAACAACAAAAATCTGCGTTATATTTACAAAATTTTCACAGGACTAGTTTCGATGGTTTTACCAAACTATCATCTTCAGCTGCAAAACCGCAAATGAACAAGATAGGAAATAATGATTAGATAAAGATAAGAAAGCCTGGACAAAAATAAGCAAGTGGCGCTATCTGTTGGCGAAACCAGAACTAAAACATAATTTCTCTAAAAGCCAAAGGCAAATTTGGATTGGAATTAGGATCGTTAACTAGAACACAAAGATTTTTATGAATGTGAAATGCCTCTAGAAAATCCAGTTCTCCAATGGAAGATGTTTTTTGAATAATTTTGGCAGCAGAAAAATTGAAAGTGTGATTTTCGGACCAACAATGTTGAGCAACAGAAGACTTCTGTGTTTCCTTTTTTCTAACATATGCCTCATGTTCTTTGACGCGAAATTTTAAGGCTCTCTTAGTTTGGCCAATGTAAATTAAACCACACTGGCAAGGAATCCTATAAATACCCCAGGAATTCATATCCGGAATGGGGTCCTTGAGTATAGAAGTTGGAATTTTATTGATGGGAGAATAAAAAACCCGAAAGTTAAATTTCTGCAAAATATGTGCAACTTTATAGCTAATTGATGGAAAGAAGGGAATGACAACAGAATTTTTATAATCTCCTAAAATAAGAGTGTGGCTTTTAGTGTGTTGAGATGAAAATTTTTAAAACTGCTTGATTAATAATGTTGGGTGAAAAGCCCCTGTCAATAGCTATTGCTTTTAAATAATTTAGTTCTTCATCAAGGGCTAGTTTTGGAGGAGCAAACTTGAAGAGCACGGAAAACATAGGAATAAAATGAAGCTAACTTTTGTTTTTAGTCGGATGACATGATTTAAAGTGTGGTGGAAGGCAAACCGATGAAGGTTTACGGTAAACTGTAGTACTGAAGTTGGATGTGTTACGTGTGACCAGAATGTCGAGAAACGGAAGAGAATTGCAAGTCTCAAGTTCAAAAGTGAACTGAATAGCAGGATCAATAGAATTCATTGTTGAAGAACTCTTATTTAAATCATCTTTATTACCTTCAAACAGGGTAAAAGTATCGTCTACGTAGCGGAACCATGCCGGGAAGTTTAAAGTTTCAAACAATTTTGATTCATAATAATGCATGTAGATATCAGCCAGGATGGGACTGAGGGGGCTTCCCATGGCTAATCCCTCAGTTTGCTTGTAATATTTATTTTGGAAAACAAAATGTGTTTGTTTCAAACAGAGTTGAGTGAGAGAAATTAGCTCATCAATTTCGATGCAAGAGAAATGAAATTTGCGAAGTCTGGTTTCTAGACATCTTAATGCACCCTCCACTGGGACATTGGTGAATAATGATTTTACATCAAAAGAAACCATGAGTAAATTACTAGGGAGAAATGTTTTTTAACCTTTTTTACAAAATCTATTGAATTTTTTATGGTGTAAATGTTATTGTCTAATAGAGGGGAAAATCTAGAAACTAAATATTTAGCTAATGGATACGAGGCAGTACCTAAATTTGATACAATAGGGCGGAAAGGAATACCACTTTTATGAATTTTGGGAAGAGCATATAATCTGGCACAATTCGCAACAGATGGGATAAGCGAATGTTTTAAGTTGCTTGAAATGATTTGCGAAGATTTGATGATCGCAGTTTTTATTTTGGATAAGTCCGAAGGTGAAGGATCTTTAGGGATCGGATTATATGGTCCTTCGTTTAAGAGTTTAGTGACACCATCGATGTAAGTGTTCTTATCCATGACGACTATCTGGCCACCTTTGTCGGCCTTTGAAATGATAATATCTGGGTTAGAATGAATTTCACGCATTGTAGCTCTTTCTCTTGCAGTTAGATTTGGTTTCAAAGGTTTATTATTGAATTTCACATTATGAGCGATAAGATGCCTAATCATTTCTTTCTGTGAATCTGAAACTTTACTGAACTTGAAAGCTTTTTCGATAGGAGCCAAAATCTTTGGAAGAGGGTTTACAGGTTTGTGAGAAGTTAAAATTATATTTTAGAATTCTTTCTTGTTCTTCTGAAAGACTAACATTAGAAATATTAACTATTAGCTTGATGTTTACAATGGGAAGATTTTTTGAACTACTTGAACTGGAAGACTGTAAAAGAAGTTTTTCGAATTTAACTGCAAGGGTGTTTTTATGACGGTTAACTGCATTCTCCGTTCTAGACCAAGACTTTTGTTCAAGGGCAGTGAATTTTGGATATGATTTAGCGAGTTCCAGATGAAGCTTATAGAGTTCATGTTCAATTTTGGACAATTGTTGACGTGTATCCCTTATCACTAAATTACGCCTGAAACGGCAAAAATTCCTGAATAATTTTGACTTTTTACTTAAATGTAAATGTAAAAAATTGATCCCCAATTTTATTCAAATTAAATCTAATCAAAAACCTTCGAGTCGCGTTTCAAGAATTCTGTTAAATTGCAAGCTTGCCTTACTTCGGTCCGTGATAAGGGATACACGTCAACAATTGTCCAAAATTGAACATGAACTCTATAAGCTTCATCTGGAACTCGCTAAATCATATCCAAAATTCACTGCCTTGAACAAAAGTCTTGGTCTAGAACGGAGAATGCAGTTAACCGTCATAAAAACACCCTTGCAGTTAAATTCGAAAAACTTCTTTTACAGTCTTCCAGTTCAAGTAGTTCAAAAAATCTTCCCATTGTAAACACCAAGCCAATAGTTAATATTTCTAATGTTAGTCTTTCAGAAGAACAAGAGAGAATTCTAAAATATAATTTTAACTTCTCACAAACCTGTAAACCCTCTATTCCAAAGATTTTGGCTCCTATCGAAAAAGCTTTCAAGTTCAGTAAAGTTTCAGATTCACAGAAAGAAATGATTAGGCATCTTATTGCTCATAATGTGAAATTCAATAATAAACCTTTGAAACCAAATCTAACTGCGAGAGAAAGAGCTACAATGCGTGAAATTCATTCTAACCCGGATATTATCATTTCAAAGGCCGACAAAGGTGGCCAGATAGTCGTCATGGATAAGAACACTTACATCGATGGTGTCACTAAACTCTTAAACGAAGGACCATATAATCCGATCCCTAAAGATCCTTCACCTTCGGACTTATCCAAAATAAAAACTGCGATCAAATCTTCGCAAATCATTTCAAGCAACTTAAAACATTCGCTTATCCCATCTGTTGTGAATTGTGCCAGATTATATGCTCTTCCCAAAATTCATAAAAGTGGTATTCCTTTCCGCCCTATTGTATCAAATTTAGGTACTGCCTCGTATCCATTAGCTAAATATTTAGTTTCTAGATTTTCCACTCTATTAGACAATAACATTTACACCATAAAAAAATTCAATAGAGTTTGTAAAAAAGGTTAAAAACATTTCTCCTAGTAATTTACTCATGGTTTCTTTGATGTAAAATCATTATTCACCAATGTCCCAGTGGAGGGTGCATTAAGATGTCTAGAAACCAGACTTCGCAAATTTCATTTCTCTTGCATCGAAATTGATGAGCTAATTTCTCTCACTC